ATGTATATTTAAAAATAAAAAATAAAAAAAAGAACTGGCGTCCATCTATTCAAGTAGGCTAATAGAGGAGAGGGTCAAAATGTACTGCAAAGTAGATTGCATTATCCACAAGGGCTGTATCTGTATCTCCCTTGTGGACGTGTGTGTGTGTGTGTATGACTGAGTGGATGCAGTGTTCCAGTATTTTTTATTGAGATGTTACCCTGGCTGTAATGTGAGGATTTTACCACTAGAGGGAGGCATATAATCAGTTATCAAGAGACATTAAATCCAAATCAGACACAATACTAGAAATGAGTAACATGTCAGAACGTATCAGGTCTCTGTATGAGATGAGTGCACATTGTCAAGTTTCCTATACACTATATGTAATATATTAATCAATCAGTCATATAGTGCTGAATGCATCTATACTTTCATGAAGCTTAGATTAAAGTTTCAGGGATAGTTTTTTTTTTTTTACTGTGAAACATTTATGCAAAAGACCAAAGTGAAATGCCCTCATATTTGGACTTACTTATTTCTCTTTAAGTTTACAGGTTTCATTTCATAATTGAAAAAAAAAGAGGGGTTTCCTCCAGTGCGGCTATAACTTCATTACTCCCAGGGCCCATATCAATTAAAAATAAGGGGACATGGATCTGTATTAATTCAGATTAAAATAAGAAACATTTGGACATAATAAAATGTATACTACCTACTGTCACTTACATCGTTGACTGCTAACTTAGCATCCGTCTACAATTTATAGCTCCACACAATTATGCAATGATAACACATAATTATATATGATCTATGAATATATTATTCATGATGTCATGTTGCATCTGGTTGTTGTGAGTCATTTCACAGAGCCTGTGACTGCACTCAGCGCATTACACCCACTCAATTACTTATGTGTGCGTTCACACACACACACACACACACACACACACACACACACACTAGGGGCAGATATAGCTCTTGTTGACCATACAACCCACTTTACAGCACATTTACACCTGGCCATCCAATAATAGACACTAACTTTTATGACTCCCACTCATCTGCTCCATGAACGCCAGTTCTAGTTCACTAATAATAGGTCTGACTTTTCCTTTGGCCCTAAGTTAAGCAGACAGTACTGCCTCCTCATTAAGAGCATCAGCCAAGAATAGTAACTGAGTAGATAGATAGATAGATAGATAGATTCACAAATGTATGGGCTAAAATGCATAAATATAAGGAGGTTTTGATTGATTAAGCAGTTACAGTCTCACAGTATTTTAAACATAAGCTTTACAAATGTGTTATAGGGCTACTGTTTTGGTTTACATAAGCCTATTTTGTACTTGAGTTGCTTCTATCTTGTCCATGCCCCCAGCCAGAAGTAGGAAAGAATTCCAAATCTAAGTTGCAGTCTTAAAATTACGATATTTTGGAGTCTTCTGAAGGCACCATCACGTCTTTTTAAGGACAATACGAAGGATGTGCTGCGCATGCGCCCTGTCCGCAGAGCGGAATCGTGGCTCCGTTAGCATCCAGAGCTAGCGGACTGGTTGGGGGGAACGCGGTGTGGAGGAAGGCGTCCTGCGCACTGTAGGCAGAAAGATATCGGCGACTTCAAATATCCCCAGCTAATCCTCGAGCTAACCATTATCCCTCCATGCTGTCCGCGAAAGGAAGATAACGGTAATAACCCTGCACTGCCACCAAAATTAGCCACCGTGCAAGACAGATTAAGGGGAAACTGCGTTTTGCGCGAGGAGTCTTCCTTTGAAGCAGCAGCAGCAGTTTTCTGCTCGGAATATTAACAAAATATAGCTTCAACCTCAACCAACGTGACTTCTTGTGAGAATGAGGTTACCGAGGCATTTTGCGATGGAGGGAGACGGGAAGAAGATGGACCTAGCGCCTCCGTTCAGAAACCCTTTTGTGCACGTCTTGAAATTCACCCCTCTGGAGAAGGCAAAGGTAACGTTAATGTTTAAATTACGCTTACAGGCAAATGCTTTTCTCTGGTACACATACGTTAACATGCTGTTCTAGTAGTTTCTAGTACGGTAACACCTCGGTGCGACACAGTGGAGAGGCTGTCACCATCATTTAACTTGGTTTTTCCTGACTGCATGTAGTCAGCTGAGCTAGTGTTAGCTAGCCAGCTAACTGTAACGTTAGCCATATACATGTTGCTTTCTTCCTCCTGTCTTGCTGCCTTTATTACCTCGCTTTCATGCCGCTGGAGAGGGATGAGTCCCTTTTAAATAGATGCTTTGCTCCAGCTATGAGGTGTATTTCACATATGAGTGTGTAAAACATATACATCAACACCTCTCACTGAGGAATCCGCTAACAAACCATAAGGATTGAATAGCGTTACAGCAATTTGAGCATGGCCGCCTGTCTAGGATGGGCCTATAGCTTGTTGCTCTTTAATTGTCATCATTAGCTTTCAGAGACGATCATGTTGTGTGGTAGCTGTTACTAAGATGTCATTTGGTAGAAACATGCCTGTAGCAGCACACATGGTACCGTTTACTGGCTTCCCTTGCATTTTTTTCATGCTTTATTGCTTATCACTGTGCGCCCCTCTCAACCAGCAACCAACACGTGTGGCTGAGGAGGCTGGAGGATGGGATGGAAAACTGACAGTCATGTCCCCCTCCCATCTATAACTTAGATGTATTTCCCCCAGCTGTTAGAGTTCACAGGTTTCTGCTATTAACTGGCTGTTAAGATTTTATGGTTCTGCAGCATAAAGTAGACAAGCAGACCAGTTACCCATCACTGCTACTGATGATCAGATTTGCTTCAACTTTCCAGCCATTGGTTTTATATCATTGAGCTTCATTGCTCCAAAACTGTTAAAATGCATAATTGGGGATGCAGCCTGCAGAGACGTAACAAGACAGCAGTTTGAAAGGCTTCTTAATCTCATTGTTATTGCACACCTGACATTTAAAATTGTCTTTTTGTGCAAATTTTGCAGCATGTGGCAGCGGGCACTGATGAAGGAAACCCCAAGTCATGTGTTCTTGTGAGCATAATATTATCTGGGGCTGCTTATAAATTTGGAGGCACATGTGGGACCTATGCAGTTCACCTCACATGACCTCTCTGAATACCTTAAATAGTTTGGTGTGTGTGTGTGTGTCAGCCCTGAGCCATGGGTTTGCATTAATCAGTGCACTGAGTAATAGATCCTGCTGTGTTGAAAGAAACATACATTGATACAGCAACGTAGGGATTTAGAAGAGGTTTAAGAGACTTTTAGAAGCTGTGTCCCTGTTGAAAAAAAATATAATATTTCATATCATGTTTAAGTACGAGGTAGCTGACATTCACACTGGAGAATAGTCTAATATGAAAGTATAAAAACGCCAGCATGCATTCTAAAATTGTTCGATACAAGTGTATTGTTTGTGTACTCTTATCACCCATAGCTCCAAGATAAACAAATAAATTATTAAATTTTGGCAAAACTAGTTTGCTTCCTCTTTGTAAAGCTTCCAGATTTGAAATTGGCAGGAGCTCCCCAAAGTTTGATTGACGTCCAGTTGTGCTTTTTTTGTTTTGTTTTTTCCCTGTAAGAATAAAACAGTAAAGCACATTAATTTCTTGCTCAGGCTATTAAATGGTTATCATATAGATTGTTACATAGGGTATACCGTAAAGTATTAGTAAACATTGTGGAATTGGGACACAGCTGTGAGGTATTTTCAGTAACAGAGTTCAGTCCGATGGGAGAGCCTCAGTTTTATGAATGGCGCTACTCTGGCATAGCAGGCATAAGCGAGTATCTTGTTACAAGTAAGAATAGTGACCTAGGGAGGTTCACACGTGTTCTTCCTGGCTCTTTTCATAGAACAGATAAAGGGAGAGTGTCAGGCGGATGCAAGCCAAGTGAATAATCAGGTTATCAATTTCTTTTAAGGCTAACATAATATCATATACGCTTGCCATATATTTAGATCACCATACGTGGTGATTATGCGCGAATTACAGTAGAAGTTGCAGAATAATTAATTTTGACGCGCTGTGCCAAAATTAAAAAGCCATATACTGCACACAACTCTCTTATTTTTCCCTTCAGTGGCATGTGCTTGGTAACAGAGCCTTTTCTTGCAGAAGTAAACACTAAGCTCTGTAACAAAAGTGGGCCATTAAATGATGAAAATGAGTTTCGTAGTTGTTCTGATGTAACTGAGAACAACTGTTTTCGGCATGTTGCCCTGGTCTTGCTTTCACATCCGCAGAAACATGAGGAAGACACAACCTGAACTGAAAAATTGAAGACTAGAGCAAAAAGCGACCGTTCTCTCTACCATTTAACTAGCCGACAGGTAGATGGTCTCACAGAATCCTTTTATGGGTTCAAGTAGAAAAGGGATTGTTGTACGTGTCCCTTGTCTATTGTGAAATTACAGTGATGAGTAACAGGCCGTTACTGAATAGCATGAGATGACTCAGGATTGTTTCACTAGCATCACAATTACTGTAATGACACCTATGCAAATAAGGTTTTTTGTGTGTGTTGCAGTAGTTGGTTGGAGGTGGATAGCATTGTCTTTTGATGAGCAAATCGGTTTTGGCATTTAGAAGATCCTCCATATTGCCCACTAATAGGGATTACAGATTATAATAGGAACAGATGAGTTTTCTTGGATTAACCCATGCCACAAGAATATGGTTGATGTTAGACCATAAAGCTACATTACTGCCTGTAAGAGCAGGCTAAAGGCCTGAAAGCTAATTGGCTGTACCTGAATTAAAAGCGATCCTGTTTGCAACAAGCCAAATTGGCATTGTTGCTCACGGTTTAAGTTTGTGCAGTGTAACCCTACAACTGAGAGAAGCTGGGGACGTCTTTGCTAATCTGTGAGTTTTAGTTCTTCTGTGACAAAAAGGGTTGCTGTCCAGAAAAGGCCGCACAAGTGACTGACTAGCTCTCAAATCTTGTAGCAACTGTGGAGACAGTAGACTGTACTGTAATTCAGTGGCATGACCTTTCAATCCATATAAAGATGCTCTTGCAGTTTTGCACCTTGGTGAGCTCATTAATCGATCTACAGAGCTGATTGGTTTAGACCTAATGTGAGAACACATTGCAGTGTTTTTGTTACAGAGTTTAGAAGCATCATCAAACATTCCAACCGTAAAGCCTAAATGTTGGTATGGTGTTAGAAGACAAGCTACTAATGTTAAAGTTGATTTAATTCCAGGCTTAGGTTTGACACGCCCAGTTTTTTTGTGTGATTCATTGGGGAACCCCACAAAGACCCAAATCTGTTTTTGATCCTGCCAAAGCAGCCATGAGTCAATAGCTTATTCCCACACTATATAGATCAGTAATTCCTTGGATTGGCGTCATAAGTGGGCAACCGATTTGTTCCTCACCAGAATAGTCATGCATATTTATCAGACCGAATTTTAAGGCTCAGTTGGCTTAGTGTAAGGCCCAAGGTTGAAAAGGTTAACTCCCAGTACAGCAATTATAAGTATTTCTTGTTATTGAGACCTGAGGATGAGGTTAAAGTGAAGCCTAAAAGGTCTCCTATGAATTTGTCTCTTCTATTGTGTTGTATTAATTTTCATCATCCATTCTTTACTCTTTCAAAGTCATGAATGTATTACTATTTTTCCCCCACCGCTACCTGAAGCAACGCCCACACCAACACAGATCCTTGCTTTTTTTTTTTTTTTTTGTTACAAAGTGCTATTTTTGGTCTGAGTGCCCACTAACAGTGGAGTGACTGGCATTGATCAGTAACTGTTGTGAACCCCTGCCCACAAACAACAATTATTCTTTGCAAAAGCACAGTAAAACATCACTAATGGCCCTCTTAAGTGGCCAGAATGAGGGGGGCATTCCACACTGTTGTTTTTCCATGCATATGGGCAAAATCTGTGTTTATATGCCCCACCACCACACACAACAACCTTACCAATGAGCTTGAGAAACTAAACGCTGTCCTGCCGCTTCTCTCTGACCTTAAACTGACTACAATGATTGAAGAAGTGAAACATCTGCATTATAAAAACAGAAAGCTTTTACACAGGTAGATCTTCTTTTGCTTTTGTTAACATGACTTCCTGTCAAAGTGTGAATCAAGTCAAGAAAAGACAATAGCTCCTTTTACACTGCCAGATGTTTCTGCGAATGTTACAACTGCAGACAGGTTTCAACCTTGCAGGGTCTTCTTCATAAGTGCAGAGATAATAACACCAGACTGGTAACATCTGGTTTACAATCCACTGCAATCGCTGGTTTGCATTTTGATTCTAATATGGCTACACTGTGAGCACAAAGTAGAGTTCTGCTGTTTTAGACCAGTCCTTGATTGTGATACCAAGAAGCCCAAGTTAATTTAGTATATTTACAGTGTCTTTACAATGTGGAGCACTCTTGGCAGCTCCAATATAATTCCCAACTTGCATCAGCCCAAATGAATGTTTATTTTGTTCTCACATCCCCCTTTAAAGACTGAGACAAGCCTTTATTGCATGAATTTAAAGATGCCTTAGCACAATGCCTGAATTCACTCTAACCCCTAATGCCTTTACTTTAACTCTAAGTGACATTCATGCATTCTCATGCTTTGGGTCTGAATAAATCTTTTAACAAATGCATTATACAGAGGCTCTCAAGCATTCCTGGCAGGGCCCCTTTTATTATAGGGAAAAAGTACCAGTTGTTTGTTCTTTCGTGTGCAAAACTGTATGCTTGGTATTTGTATAAAAAGAGAACTGTGTGGTAGACATATTTAATTAATTCATGTATCTTAAGAGGATCTTGGGAAAGTAAACAGTTTGGAGGACTGTGAAAAGAGAAATAGAAATGAGGCTGGTGTGTCAATGTGATAACAGTGGTGGGATTAGTTTGTCATGTAATTTTTCGACTCACTGAAAACGGAGCAAAACAGATCTATAATGTAGATAGTACCATCATAATGTAGACGTGAATATTTCTCCGATCAGCGTTATGTTTTTGGGAAAGAAAAAATGACTAACCAGTCTCCATTTAGACTCCAACATTTGATTGCTGCTCATTGTCCGTAATTAAACAGGCAAGCTTTAAAATGATTGATTTAATGTGACCAAGCTGTCAGACAAGAACTCTCCCCAGATAAGATAGTGCAGACAGACTCCATGCTCCTGAGTTGTGGTTTGCTATCAAGACAAATATTGACAGAAGATAAGCGCTGCTATCAGGGAGTCATTAGAGGCTGTAAACAGTCACCATTACAAACTATGTAAGGTTTTGTCAGAACCTTTAAGAATCAAGAACATATGTTATATGTAGCATTTTCATGATTAGGATGTAAGCATATAAATAAGGGCCATATTGTGACCTGAGGGCAGACACAACATCTGATTTAAATTGTCTAACATACCACAGAGCTCTTTATGCAGGATCACTGGTGTTTCGGATTGCTAAGTTGCCATTGACCACTATGATCAGAGACTGTGCTTCAGGCATGCTGCCCTGTGTACTGTATAGGAAGGGACAAACAGCTCTCAGCTTCATAATGCATTGGATGTTAAACTACATATGTTTTTTTCCCTTTACACCAGATGCTAATAGTTAATTGGTTCTCATAAATTGAAGGCATCATTGTTTTCTGATGGGCTGTCTTTTATTTTGCTTCGGCAAAGAAGTAATATAATCAATAATGTTCTTGTCTCTTCCCTCCTGACAAAAAGTGCCAACCTGTCAGTCTGTTTTTAGAGTAAACTTTTTGTAAATGTTGTGATTTTTGGCTCTGACTTGCAGACAAAGCATTTATTGTAAAGCAAATGAAAAAAGTTGTGGAGTTGGCATTAACAAAGGCTAAATACTGCATAGACTTGGGTCCAGCTGAGACGTTAATGGTACCGAGATGACTGACAAAACATTACGGGTGTAAATCACAAGCAACAGCACAACTTGATATAGAGATTCTTTGGACAACAGTACAGTAGTTGCTAATATCACAAAGTCTGCTACAGTACGATTTCTGTTTGCTTCAATTCAGGGTCCTGCAATCATTATTAGTTGCTAATAGTCTTGTCTTTTTCCTGGTTGCTTGCCATTGTCTGCCTGGTGCTAGACTGTTAGCACTGTTTGAATGTTTCGGAAAGAGGTGTGCTTGAACAGAGGTGGTGACACAAAGGTATCTTAAAGGTGATGATACATATTGATGCTTTCACTTTACAGTGATCATACTTGTTCTATGATTCAGTGTATTGTTGCACTCGTGCATAACATGTTGTTGTTTGATCTGTTTCTTTAACCCTTGTCCTTTTCTCTTGTCCCAAATCTCTTCCAGATTGCATTAATGACAGTCACACTGTTCCCCATCCGTCTACTCATAGCAGCATTCATGATGCTGTTGGCTTGGCCTTTTGCCTTCCTGGCCTCAGTAGGGCGCTCAGAGACCACCGTCGAACCCCAGTGCCTCTGGAGGAGGTGGGTGCTTTGTCACGCACTTGTGTGTCTGTCTGTTTGATGGTGAATTTCAGGAAGCACTATAATTCTTACAAACGTGTTATTTACCACATCAGCAATAGTAGAATGCTATGGGCAGGGCATTCAGTATGAAGAAAATCACAAGGGTTGAAAATGCTACTTCAGTCAAGTTTTCAAACAGTTGCACTAAAATGCCTTTTGCCTTTTTTGTGCAGGAGCATCTATTAATAAATTAATTGTAGCATTGGTTTCTAGTAGTCCTTCACGCCTATCTCACTTTATTCTGAGTAATTCTTAAGCTTTGATAGTTCAGATGGCCCACCCTCTGTGTCAGTCTTATTTTCATTGCTCCTTGATTGTGCAATAGTTTGTCAGATAAACATCCACAGAAACCGCAGGACTCCTCTTTTTAACCACTTGTCTAAAACTAAAGACTGAAAATACCACCTCAAAGGTTAATTAACACGCAGTAGGGTTTCCCACACATTCATTTATTTATGGCGTACTGCCATAATATGAGCATTCGCCGCCACATATAAATTTTCTGTTTTTGGAGCTGCGTCTCTCTCTCGTAGCCGAGAATACTCTGGCCACAGACAGAGTAGCAGAGCACCAAGTGCAGTGAAAGTGAAACTTAACTGTCCGTCAATTTATATAGTTTTAGTTTAGTCTATTAATTTTCCAGCCCTACTTTTAGATGAAACTGGCTAAGTTCCCACGGAACAGAAAGTTTGCTTTCACTCACGTCTGCAGCAGCTACTTTTTATATCCATTGATGTGATCTGATCAGGTCTGATCGCTGCGACCACAGACTGATTGAAAGGAAGTCTAGAGTGTGATGGTCAGACAGTATGTTCCTCACTTCTCCGTCTCACAACTCAAACTCAGCAAACTGCTCCTGAGAAAGAGAAAATCGTTCGTGAAGTGGTCTGTCTATGCTGCGTTCATGGACCCGCAAAAACCAGAATGAACACAAAGGGACACTCGCGTACACAGGGGAAAAAGGAAAGAAATAAAACACTAAACAGAAGGTTTGCTGATCAAGTGTAGCTCAAATGTGGCGATAAAGAAAGAGGAGTGTTCAGTGGGCTAGAGGCAGAACAGGGTAATCTACACTTATTCTACGTATGCACTGGAGAAATGCCTCACAGGGTGTAATCAGGGTTATTTCTCGCCATTAAATAGTGCTGTTTTCACTCTTGTCACTACTCACTTACCCTATTTAATTCCTACCACATCAAAGTTCTAAAACTACAGAGCCTTAATCATTTATGTCAACTTTGTCATGTCATTGGACATATGCATCTGTCATATTTTCCAGTGTTATAGATTTTATGTCCATTTGCAGTTTGAAGGAAAATTGCCCCTCACACTTGCATGCTCTTGTTTCCAGAGTGGTGGACATAATTCTGAAGATCATCATGCGGGTCATGTGGTTTGCGGGGGGTTTCCATTGGATGACCGTGAAAGGACGAAGGGCACTGCCCGCAGAAGCACCCATCCTCACCCTGGCGCCCCACTCGTCTTACTTTGACGCCATCCCAGTCACTATGACAATGGCCTCAATTGTCATGAAGGCCGAGAGCAAGGATATACCTCTCTGGGGCAGTAAGTTGCAAACACATACCAGGATGTATTATCGTTGTTACATCTATGACTATGGCCTAAATTGGAAGCGAGAGAACAGGTGCTCTAAGGAAATCTGGAAAAAAGTCATCTCATTCTACCAGGGGAAGGTTAAGTATATACAGTATGCGCCTTGTGTTGTGATGTGCTACTTTGTAAAGGGCAGGTCACAACAGCTTCTATGATTTCGCAGAGAGGATTGCCCAATCCACTTTGCAGCGTTGAAGTTCAGTACAGTTTAGCTAATGTTCACACAGCAGTGGTATACCATAAACATACATGCCAAAAATACACATGCCATGCTGTAGTATATATCCAAACATAGAAACATTGACTTGTCAACATTGACTCAGAGTTACTTCTGTAAACCATTATGACTTGTCAACCTTATGAGTCCTTATGACAGTGTTAAACTCATAAAACCGTCCATGACACAAGGAAGCAAAAATTGAACTTTCTTGTCTAGATAAATGACCACACTCGGACTAGGAAAGGAAACAACGCTCAATGCTATGGATCTGAAGACTTATGGTTCGACTATTCGACACAGTGGCCAATAATAACCATGAATGATTTTTGGTTTCAACCTGCTGTCAGTTCCTACCTTTCAATGAATAATTTTTGGGAATAGATATGTCAAATGAAATCATCCACCTACTGTTAAAGGAGGACTTTATTATGACTTTGTTGTAACACTACTACCAGTGATGGATCCCACAAAGCAGCGGGACCATCCAGATAGCTAACTGGAGCACCAAACAATACTGACTGCTCAGTTGCAGTCAGGACACACAAGTGTAACAGCAGATCCCATTAACTAGCTTATAAGTTCAGTTACCTTTCCAGTTGCCAGTTTAGGCATTTGTTCTCATGCCCCTGGCAGCAGGACATGCAGTAAAAGGCCTAGGTGTGTGTTATTTTAGCTGCACTCTCTCCTCCTCCTGCTCTGCCTACAAAGTTGGTAATTAGCCAGTTAGCTACCTCCAGACTGAGCGCAGCTCGCCAAGTTACTGCAGCCTTACTTGATTGTATTACAGGAATGAAACCTTAATGTGAACACCTTTGCTCATAAGCAAAGTGTCATTATTTGTAGCATGATGTTTGGAAGAAGCCTGAGTAGCATTAGCAACGGTTAACATTTCAGGTTTAATTTATAGTATTATTTTTGGTTAAAGGTATCCGCTAATGGTTCAACTGTAGTTTGACTAGTCATGCTGGCCTTGTGGTAGGAACCAGGCACCAATGCCTGGCCAAGCAAGTGGAATCCAGAATAGGCATTAAGACCTGATCAGCCATGGTGACGTGTGTAGAGTGACTCTCTGGGTACCAGCTAGAGGCCTAATCCCTTCCTGTCGGCAGACAGCTCACAGTTGGAATCAATTTCTTCTCCTCATGGCCTCACTTCATTCGTTCCTCATGTTGAGTTAACCCCACTCCCTGACTTGTGTGTTTCTCTTTCTATTTGACTCTGTCTCAGGGCTACTGGAAAACATTGCTTTTGCTAACTTTTGTATTTTGGGTATTATTAGAGATGGGATGTAAAGGAAAATGCTTCCACCATCTACCCACCCCCTTGCAAATCTAACTTGGAATGTTACCACCCAGTTTTTGTCTGATCACAGTTCCTCTTTCATTTCCTTCTACATTGTTCTTTTGTAGTTCATTTATGCTTTACAGTTTTCACGATGGGGACGCCTGCATTCTCTGCTCTGCAAATTGTACACTATGCAAATATATTTCAGTTGAGTTCTCCCCTCATCATGCACAGCTTTCTGTTAACTGCATTACACTCTGTGTGACCTTTAAGACCGTTCTCTCAGTCTCAATTAAGTCGCTATGCTACAGGAAGTGAAATTAACAGTAGTGGTGTCACTTCGGTGAGAAACCTTTTCTCAGGTTGCTTCATTGTTCTTCAGAAAAATGGAGGTTGAATAGTGGTGAATGGACTATGGTGTGTAAGGTTATTTCCAACATTCAGAGTTAGAAATCTGTTTGTTTCAGTGGTGTGTTTGTTGTAAAATAGTCAGACTTTTTGAAGCAAATACAGTTTGGCTGTGTGGCAAATATCACAATACAAATCATGTTTTTGTCGTGTCAGTATCAATCATGCTTTTTGAAATAACACTGTAGCTGCCACTACGTCACACCTCGCCTGTAATCAGAGAGGGAAGCCAGAATCTGTCTTGCGTTCATGATTAACATGTGAGACTCATCTGACTTATGAAACCAGCGTCAAGGAACACATGATTCTGTGTCAAGTGTAGAAAATACAGCATCTAAGTTAACATTTGTGGTGAAGCTTTGCCTTCACCAACAGAAGTTTCTGGTAGCTATACAGATAACAGGCTTTCATCTGTGTTTTACAGTTACATGGATGTCACAGAAACAGAGAGGAATGTTTCAGGACAGTCACATTCCTCCATTCTTCACCACTGTGCATCACTTTTGCAAAGTGATTTGGATTTAAGTGCTGTGTTTATGGACACCATTAGAGTTGTGGTTGATGTAAGGAGGAACTACGCTCTCTTCCCTTGCTGGCTTTTCTTAGCCTGTACAGTCAAGTGTTTGTGCCACCAGGTGTAGCAGATTGTTTTAAAGATGTGATCATGATGTAAAAAGCAATACTATCTACCATATTAGGCGATACAGACATATCCTGTATTATAGGGGTTAAGTGAAAATGAAGGTGTGACTGACTTCTTGCACATTTTACAAATTCCAGTTAGAACCACAACTCATAGTTCCCCTTTCTCACCCCACTAAACACCTAAATGCAGTAGATACAGATAATGCAGAGGAGCTATAGTTGCTCAGCTGTCAGAGGAAATAAAAAAGAATAACTGTTTCTGTACTCATTTGCATTTTCTCCACTCTGTGTCTGCTTTCTTGCTCCCAGCTTTGATTAAGTACATCAGGCCAGTGTTTGTATCACGGTCAGACCAGGACTCGAGAAAAAAGACTGTGGAGGAGATCAAACGCAGAGCCCACTCTGGAGGGGAATGGCCTCAGGTAAACGGATGGAAAGTCTTGCGCACACTTTGTGAGCGTACATACATAACAGCACCTGATTTTAACTATAACAGATTTTATTTGGATATTTTTTCTCACATCTGTGCCTAATGACGGACGACAATATCAGGCAACAGTTATTGTGGCCATTTTAAACTTAAATGATTTACTGACTTTATTGAATCCAAGTTTAAAAACAAATATGTCTGTATAAAAATACAGTTTATCTACAAAAACACCCTTAAGTTTACAACTGTAACCTCCATTCTCTGATAGCATGACTGACATAGGATATACTCCATGGTGAAATACTGAGCGAATACTTCAAAATAAGATGGACGTCACTGAAAAACACAACAGAAAATGGCCATTTGGCCAGTAAAATCTAGTACAGAAAACACAGCTATAACTAACTTCCTATCTGCCTTACAGCAACTTAAATATAATGCACGCTAATGTTTCTCCTTTGTAACATTTCCAAAATGCTTCTCTTGCTGTTTAGGATATGTCCGCTTTTTATAATGTGTGAACCATTTCTTCTTTCCTACAGATTATGATATTTCCAGAGGGAACATGCACCAATAGATCCTGCCTAATCACCTTTAAGCCAGGTAAAGCTCTCCCGTCATCATTTTTTTTTTTCTTATTCAGCTTTCCTTCCCTTTTTACCTTCCCTTCCTTTGAAGTCATGCTGCCAACTCGTGTGAATGCGCTAATATTTCATACTTAACCGAGTGGGCATATTGACACATTATTTAAATTAAATTACACATTGAATTAATGTCCGGTTTAGCTTTAAGTGTGATGTGTGGTCTCAGTCGTCAAGGAACAAGGCTGGAATTCATTGTCGGCATTGGCAAGATTTGAATTATGGTGTGAAAGTGTAAAGGTTGTGTATGCAACAGAGCATTAATATGGCTGCACACCACTATGTGCTATGTACATTTGTAGTGGAGTAATGGCATCCTGAGCAGAGAATGACGTCACACTACCTCTCTGTGTGTGTGTTGTAATCTGAGTTTCACCATGGTTTGTTTTGGGAGATGATTTGGCTGCGCATTCATGTAAGAGCATGTGTGTATCCCACTGGCAAACTCATTGCTTGCTGCTTCGAACTGTGCTTATTCAGCAGTTACAGCTGATATCAGAGTGGCAATGTCATGGAGTGAGTAGCACCCACCCTCTGGTTCCCCCTTAATTAACACTGTTGGCTCTGTCAGCTCTGTTGATATTGTTTAGCTCTGTTCATGAAGTTAGCACTGTCAGCTGCTACCTGCTGGCTCTGCCTCCTCTATGTTGAGATTCATGTCCAGACAACTCATACACTCGGAACATTGCAGAGGGCCCATTTGAATCTAAGTTTAACCCTGACATTTGCCTTGCGACTGTGATTTTCTGGAAAACAAACATCTCTGATATGCAAATAAGTAATATTTTTGAAATAGGATTGGGTAATTGGCTGTATCTGTGGCTGATGGACTTAACTTGGCGGATGGTTAAATCGCCAAATTATGTACAGTACAGGCCAAAAGTTTGGACACACCTTCTCATTCAATGTGTTTTCTTTATTTTCATGACTATTTACATTGTAGATTCTCACTGAAGGCATCAAAACTATGAATGAACACATGTGGAGTTATGTACTTAACAAAAAAAGGTGAAATAACTGAAAACATGTTTTATATTCTAGTTTCTTCAAAATAGCCACCCTTTGCTCTGATTACTGCTTTGCACACTCTTGGCATTCTCTCCATGAGCTTCAAGAGGTAGTCACCTGAAATGGTTTCCACTTCACAGGTGTGCCTTATCAGGGTTAATTAGTGGAATTTCTTGCTTTATCAATGGGGTTGGGACCATCAGTTGTGTTGTGCAGAAGTCAGGTTAATACACAGCCGACAGCCCTATTGGACAACTGTTAAAATTCATATTATGGCAAGAACCAATCAGCTAACTAAAGAAAAACGAGTGGCCATCATTACTTTAAGAAATGAAGGTCAGTCAGTCTGGAAAATTGCAAAAACTTTAAATGTGTCCCCAAGTGGAGTCGCAAAAACCATCAAGCACTACAACCAAACTGGCACACATGAGGACCGACCCAGGAAAGGAAGACCAAGAGTCACCTCTGCTTCTGAGGATAAGTTCATCCAAGTCACCAGCCTCAGAAATGGCAAGTTAACAGCAGCTCAGATCAGAGACCAGATGAATGCCACACAGAGTTCTAGCAGCAGACCCATCTCTAGAACAACTGTTAAGAGGAGACTGCGCGAATCAGGCCTTCATGGTCAAATAGCTGCTAGGAAACCACTGCTAAGGAGAGGCAACAAGCAGAAGAGATTTGTTTGGGCCAAGAAACACAAGGAATGGACATTAGACCAGTGGAAATCTGTGCTTTGGTCTGATGAGTCCAAATTTGAGATCTTTGGTTCCAACCGCCGTGTCTTTGTGAGACGCAGAAAAGGTGAACGGATGGATTCCACATGCCTGGTTCCCACTGTGAAGCATGGAGGAGGAGGTGTGATGGTGTGGGGGTGTTTTGCTGGTGACACTGTTGGGGATTTATTCAAAATTGAAGGCACACTGAACCAGCATGGCTACCACAGCATCCTGCAGCGACATGCCATCCCATCCGGTTTGCGTTTAGTTGGACGATCATTTATTTTTCAACGGGACAATGACCCCAAACACATCTCCAGGCTGTGTAAGGGCTATTTGACCAAGAAGGAGAGTGATGGAGTGCTGCGGCAGATGACCTGGCCTCCACAGTCACCGGACCTGAACCCAATCGAGATGGTTTGGGGTGAGCTGGACCGCAGAGTGAAGGCAAAGGGGCCAACAAGTGCTAAACACCTCTGGGAACTCCTTCAAGACTGTTGGAAAACCATTTCAGGTGACTACCTCTTGAAGCTCATGGAGAGAATGCCAAGAGTGTGCAAAGCAGTAATCAGAGCAAAGGGTGGCTATTTTGAAGAAACTAGAATATAAAACATGTTTTCAGTTATTTCACCTTTTTTGTTAAGTACATAACTCCACATGTGTTCATTCATAGTTTTGATGCCTTCAGTGAGAATCTACAATGTAAATAGTCATGAAAATAAAGAAAACGCATTGAATGAGAAGGTGTGTCCAAACTTTTGGCCTGTACTGTATATTTCTGCATTTGTCACTGTGGTGTTTTTGTAATTATCAAGTGCACTTTTTCAAACATACTACTGATATTCTAATGTGTATGTGCCCTTGTTTTCTACCCAATGAATTGTTTATGCAGATCTGTCAAATTGAAATCTTTCTTACTCTTGCAGGGGCCTTCATCCCAGCCGTACCAGTGCAACCTGTCGTGATTCGTTATCCTAACAAACTGGTAAGATTATTTATAGATACATTACTTACACAGCTTAGTGGCACAGTTATTTTTACAAAAAAGATTGTGAGTGACTCTCCACCTATCTCCTTAATCGCAGCTTAGCATTGTGATATATTGCGAACATGATCGGTCTAACGCTGGTTTCTCTGAACATCAGTCAGTGACCTGCTTATCTCATCTATTCCCATCAGCAATCTTATGAAGTCTATTCTTCAAGTACATGTAGCAGATAGTAGTACTAAGAGATTGTATCAGGTATCTCAACTGTGTCAACATACGATAAGTGCATGTTATTTAAAGTATAAAGTAAAAGCATAATTGTGGCAGTGGTAAGAGATTAAATTACATGAAATGCTTGCAATGCTAAAATCTTAGCACTCTGTGTTAGCTCTACGAGGCATTTGCATGGCCCATATTGTGTGTGACTGTATGTATGTATACTATGTATGCCCTGTAGCCGGCTTGGCACTTTACCAGAGTCTCACTCAGTGGGTAGGTAAAGATCTTGCCGGTCACGTGGTGGGAAGAAAGATATTGTAGATATATATAGTATCATGAAGGAGAAAATGTTCTGTGTAATGCAGAAAGATTAGCAAACTCAGCAGAATCCTGCATGGTGCTGTGAAATTATCCTTAAGTCAGTGCTTGATGTCATGGTCATATAGTGTAATTTTTTGAGATTGTTATGCTCTAACAGAACTAGTTCCTATAATGTGTTATCTTACCTTGTCAGAAATCATAAGTGCAACACTCCACGGCTACAGTCCACAGATGTTATGTGGGTCTGTCTTAAAGGCTTTGTAATCTTATGAGTATGGTAGTTATGCAGATACAACGTGCTGAGGGCATATGGGACTCGCGGCCACGACAGCAATGACTTTATTATTTTGTTTTATTAGTGAATCAATAATTTACATCTGTTTATTTAATTTATGATTCAAATTTACATGACATTGTGCTTCACAAACAGCCCATGGCAATAATGATATAAGCTTTCACTGGGAAAGAAGTGAGTTTGCCCTGTTTAAGTTCTTGATGGTAAGATGAGTTTGTCAATTAACTAAGTTGTGGCTGACTCTGTTGAATAATGGACTCTTGATTCACCTACCGGCAGTCCAAAGAGGCTGATTTAGCTGAAGTCTTTTAAGTCAGGTTATGAGAAGGAGTCGGTGAAGCGTGCAGAGCCACTGAAAGCTTCACTGGGAATCTGGCTAATCACGATATGACTCAGAAGGCAAATCCAATGCATTGCTCAGGCTTGTTGTTAGTGAGGCTGCATGAGGAAAACTAACTGAGGACATTGTTGGAAGGAGTTGTTAGGGGATCTCATAAATCCCGTAAACCTGCACTGTCTTCTGCAGAAGGAGGTAATAGTTAGATGTTCTGCAATATTTGAGGTCAGTTGCAGAAATCACGAATGTATTTGCAGAACTTGGGTGTTGTCAGTTCTGTAAGTGTGGTTAGACTATGTAATCAAAGGAGTCACATGGTTAACACATATAGAGTGTGTAAAAAAAAAGAAAGAAAAAAGATTTTGCTGAGTCACTGTATTAACATGCTTTTTAGTGACTTCTCGCTTTTTGCAGTAACCTGATTTTGGAAATGTCTGTGTAAGCGGGACATTTAAACCTGGTTAACCCAAGTACATCCCTGTTTAGGAAACCTGAGTAGAGTTTGGCCATGTACAGCCTGGGCTTGGATTTTTCATGTCCACATTTGTATTTGAAATAACTCAAAGTTAAAGATGAACAACACTCATTTTCAGAATACATCCATGTTTTTCCAATGGTCCAAAAATATTAGCATACGTGATCAAGTCTCTCTGTAAATCCAAAAACTAGAGTGCTAAAACTCCAGCTTTGTGATGTCATAGGGTATAAAGTCTGTAACTCCTCCAATCAGACAATTGGGTAGGATGTTATAGATGACAATAAGAGCATCCAGGGGATTATTCTGAGTATATGGGTACATTGTCTGTCTTAGAATAAAGGACACTTGAACGGAATAAAGCTGATTTGCGTATAAAAAAAGATAACAAACATTCTGTGGGTCTGAAACATCAGACGCTCATCCATTGTCAATTGTCACGCTTTCCACTTGATGACACCACAAGTTGGAGACTTAAGCTGCGTTCAGAGGGCTCGGAGGTTTCCGAGGACGTAAACAAACACAGCTGTACAAGGCTATCTTTGCTGTAGCCCAGTGGAGCTGGGCTGATGTTGTTAGTCTTTTTGGCTAAATGAAGAGGTCAAAGACGTTTTGCTAATGTATGGTGTTGGCAATGTTACCAATTCTGTGTATAATTATACATGGAATGTTCAAATTACGTGTAGCAGTGGAGAATTTGCTTAAAGACGTCTTTGAGATTTATTTATTTTTTTACCTAAGAAAATTATCTGACTCGCCGGTAGCGAAGGGGGCTGCCATTGCTGTAATGTCATGCCACGTCAACTCAGGGTCCTCGGGTTGCTACACTTCCGCACGATGTTCTGAGCGAAAAATTCTGCTCCGATCACGTGTTCAAAGCACTTTTCCCCCGAGTTAATGGTCGGGACCTCGGAACCTTGGACCTTATGAACACCGCTAAACTTCTCTGGTTTCTGGCTTTGAGAGAGAACAGCTCATGTTCATAAAATATTGATTGAATTGTCCCAGGCCCTGGAAATAACATCGTAATTCCTCATTTAGGTGGTGTTCCCCTTTTTAAATACCTTTTAAATGTACCAAAATTGGTATAACGTTTTCATAGGTGGCTGAGGAATGTGATTGTCCAGACTACATGTAAAGCAGTGTAGAAGAAGAAATGGGAAGTGATTTTGTGGCATAACCTGATTAGGGCTGCAGCTATGGATTATTTTAGTGATCAAGTATTCTACTAATTTTTCTATCGATGAATCGAGTGATCGGATAAGAGACTACTTTACCAGGTGGAGAGTAGGGCTGCAGCTAATGATTATTTTCATTGTTGACTAACCTGTCGATTATTTCTTCGAATAGTCGACTAATCATTTTATCGAAAAATGTGTTAAAATGTTGAAAAATGTCGGTCTGTCTCTCCCAAACCCCAAAATTATGTCATCTAATGTCTTGTTTCATACTCACGCCAAAGGGTTTTAGTTCACCGTCATGGGAGAGTGTGTGAAGCTGCCAATATTTGAACATAAAAAGCTGCAATAGGAGTATTTTAGGGTACTTTTATAGTACTTTTCTATGAAAAATGACTCAAACCAATTAGTCGACTACTAAAATAGTCACAGATTATTTTGATAGTCAGTTAGTCATCGATTAGTCAACTAATCGTGGCAGCCCTAGTGGAGAGTGAGTTGTAGCTCTGGTGACAGACCTTCAGTTAGCAGCTGTAGCAATTCCTGTTCAGCAGGTGCAAACCCTAGCGCTGGGCAGCCTTCATCTCAGCTAGCAATCATATCAATTTACGTTTAATATTAGCAATAATGTTACCTTGTTGTTGGGTCTGCTTGTTGACTGCTGAGATGCTAAAGCATTGACGTCTTGCTATTGTGGTTAGCTAGTTTGGTTTTATAGTAGGGGTACTGTACAGAGTTTGCGTTATGTTTCAGCTTGAAATGAAACCTCTTCCTCCATTTTGCACCACTAAATCACGTCTTCTTCACGTCACCTGTCCACAGTGTAAGCGTGTTGTATGATAGTTATGCATACTGAACGAAACTACATCGATGAGTTGTAGTTATCGCGGTAACTCAAGTTTCTTTAATAAGTTGTTTCAGCCCTAAACATGATTACACAATAATCTGTTTTTGGTCTGCAAATAGGATAAACAGTTTAGTGCAAGAACAGCTGCAGGAAAGAAGTCAACAATTTGTCTTAAAATGCATGCAGAAAATATTGTAATTGGTTTTTATTTCAATCTGTCTAATAATGTATTTGCTTCATGTACTTTTTACAGGACTCAATCACATGGACGTGGCAAGGACCTGGAGCGTAAGTACAGTTTCTTCATCTCACATATGCTGCGACTTGCTGTTAAAGTACAGAAGAAAATGTGTTTACTTTTTTAAAGTTAAAGTGTTAGTAAACAAACCTCTATGTAAGTTCAAATATACAGAAATTGTCTAAACTACTACTACTACTACTACTGTTTTGTGTTCCTCCAGACAGCAAAAAACACCAAAATTATTGTAGAAAAGACCTTATTTTAACCAAAGCACAATATATGATTCTAAAATTACACTGACTGTCATGTATCACAGTAAAGCTTGTCATTTATTACTCTCTAAAACTGAAGTGCAGGCTACTATTTTGGAGATGAAAATTATAGTCTGAACCAGAATCTCTGCAATGAGATCTCAGTGGAGGCAGATTAGTTATGGCTAGAGGAAAAAGACTGCCCTTGTTATCCGTCTCTGTAGCGTCCTCAGAATACCATGTCCTGTTTTGGTTCAGCTTCCTTCAATATGGTGTGTCTTTGAATGTAGTTGGCTGTCTTCCCAGCTCATCTGAGCAGAACTACACTATAGATTATTTGACTTAATCTCTTAAAGATACACACAACCTTGAACGTATGCACAGAGAGTATTAAGTGACATTTCCCTCCAAACATGTCATAGTAAGTTTAACAGTAATACCACATTTACATATGTAGTTGTACTACTTGGAAATATCTTGTTCTTAATTTATTGGACACATAAAAATACCTGGAGATCTCTGTCTAGATCCAGATGTGCACAGCTGTAAAGACACTGCCCTAAAAGATCAGCATGTATTCACAGGGGCAGTTTTGGTTTTGAAAGTAATAAATTAACGATGTGAATAATTATGCAAAACTGTTTCATCTAAATTTGCAGAAAACAAATATTTGTTGCTGATGATGCCCTCTTATCATCTAGGTTTGAAATCTTGTGGCTGACACTCTGCCAGTTGCACAACGAGTTTGAGGTCGAGGTAAGCATGAAATTATCTCTCCATAGTGCTGTCCTTCATGTTGTGAAGATGTTGCCTGTACAACAGCACAACAGCACAGACGGTACAGATTTTGTTTCTCCTTTCTGTGTTTAATGATGATATAGTTTTCTTTTCAGTTGTCCACAATAAAAGAGAATGTTTTTGTGAATGCTTACTCACGTACAATAATAAAATCTCTTGTGATGTCTGAGATTTGGCTAATTAATCATTTCCACCTCTCTCTGCAGTTCCTCCCCATCTACACACCCTCAGAGGAGGAGAAAAAGAACCCTGCTCTCTTTGCTATTAACGTGAGGCGTGTCATGGCCAAGTAAGTAAAAATGTATTGTTCACTAGGGCTGGGCAATATATGTTCAATATATTTCTATATTTTCAAGCAAGATATAGATTTAGACAACACAGTTTATATCATTTATATCCATATAGGGTCAAGTTACTTTACATAACACATACCAGTGTGCAATCTCTACTCACTCACTCACTCACTCACTCAAGAGACACAGAGCTGCTACTCTGTTTAATCTGTCTGTTAATTAGTTAATCGATCTATAAGTTGGAGGTGCTACGCTAAATCAGTCTTGAGGCAAATGAAATTAGCGCAGTAGCACACGTGCAGTACAGCGGCGCACTGCATATGCGTGAGACCGAGCTGCTTGATTGTGTCAAGTGAGCGTTTGTTTGCTAGTTTGTGTGTGAGCTGGATCATAGCGCATCGTCGTTTTTCTTGGTAGTTGTAGTCTATTGTGTGACACTGAGACATTGCCTGGATGCAGGCTAGAGATGTGTTTTTAAAACTGCAGCAACAGCACAGACATTTCATATAAAAACATATATATCGGGGACAGTGTCTCTGTTCCTGTCCGTCCTTCGCCATAGATTAATAGCCTAAGTAAAGAAAGAATCATTTTCCAGTACTAGATTCATTTGAAAAGCCATGGAAAATGACTTTAACACAACCACAAAGATATTATTTGTTTCACACAACATGGATTTAGGCCTACTTGATACTAATATTACAGTTTTGTGTCCTGTGCTGCAAACCTTTAAACCTCTGTAGCTCCAGTGCTACATGCAAAAACGTTAATGTACGGCCCGGTTATTTATTTTATGTAGTTTATTTCATTTACATGTTGTGCAGCTGTATATTTTTAAACAGAAAAAAAATCCCTGTCTTTGCATTTTATTTTGATCAGCCTGTTTTTAGAAAAGTGCTTGTAACATCTTAAATGTGACTTTGACTTGTAACTGAAAATTAGAAAATACCGAGATATATTTTGTATCACCATTTGGCCTGAAAATACAGAAATATACATTTTTGTCCACATCGCTCAGCCCTATTGTTTACATGATGTGTGGCAGTTCATCCTTTGAATGTACAAAAAGCAAAGTTAACCAAAATAAATGAGTTATCAAATAATAACTCTCAACAGTTGTTATTAACTTAGTTGCTTTGTCTTGCTGGCCATCTGCCAAATGAAGTGAAGGGGGTGAGCCATGAAGTTAGAGAACAAGGTTAGCCTTCCTTAAGGGCTGGTAAGGTGGACCGGCTGTTCTAATTGTAGTGAGCCTCTCCGAAGCAGATGATTGAGGAATGTTTCTCCTGATTTAATGAAAAAATTATATTGATCCGAACTCCAACTTCATACATTTATATCAAATATTTTGCTGTTATTTAGTGTTCAGTTATCTCAGTTTAACTCTGATACCAGAAAAAAACGAACAACACCAAAGTGCTCAGGTTTTACCGGCTATACTTGCAACTTGTGTCCTCATTCACTCCCACACTGTGTGCTTCACTTCTTGAAGCCAGAGATGGGAGACGCAAGTTTTGCAGATGGACAAAAAAACCTGTACACATTGTTCTCAACATCAAAGTCGCCATATCGGCTACTACATTGGCCTTTATGAGCCTCCAGCAAAGTTCGTATTGATTTGCACACACTGATGTCCCGTCATTGTCTCCTCTGTGCCACGCTCAGAGCCCTGGGGGTACCCATCACAGACTATTCATTTGAAGACTGCCAGCTGGCCATGGCAGAAGGCCAGCTGAGACTGCCAGTCGACACCTGTCTGCTGGAGTTTGCCAAGCTCGTCAGGAGACTGGGGTGAGTCACTCAAACCTTCCTATGCAATGCTCCCATCAAAGACAACCAAGTAAGGGGCAAAAGGGTGAGACAGGGGCAAAATACTCACCACGCGCCGCAGGGATCCGGATTCAATTTCTGGCGGTGGTACCTTCTGCATGGCTTGCATTCCAGCAAACGCAACTGGTCATGTGCACAGGTGGGAAGGCAGTTTGGGATTGTGTCCTTGTCGCTGTGCTGTTGACTCCCATTGGTTGGTCAGGTGCCTGCGCAGGAGGGGATCTGGAGGGGGTTAGTGTCATTTCTACACAGGGTCTGGTTTTGTGGTGAAAACTCCTCTGGCAGGTGAAGGGAAGCAATTGGCAGCACCATGCGTATTGGTGGAGGCTCATGATTACCTACTCCCTCCCCAGTCCAATAGTTGGCAGCGACAAGGACCACTGACAGTGCAGGGTAGAGAAAAGGGAGAGTGGTAAAAACAGGGGAGGGAAACATGTAAATAATTTGGACAAAATACTGGAAACCAATGGAATGCATCCCAGCAAACTACAGATAAAAGAGTCAAAGGAGTGGACACAACTCCATGGTACAGTCTTTGTTTGGTTTCATACAAATACAGTGCATATTTTTTACCATATTTTCAGAAAATAGGCAAAAGAAAATGCTAGTTTATGTGCTTTTTTATCTACTACTGTTATGCGAATTCTCTGAGTTGATTCATCAGATAAACTTCAAACTTAAAAATCAGATTGTCTTTGAACCCGGGATCAAGGATGGTGGTTAAGGTAGATCGTGCCTTTGTGGTAGCCGCTCCACAGCTATGGAATAGCCTTCCACACCCAATTAAATCCTCCCCCTCCATCAACACTTTTAAGACAAATTTTAAAATGCACACATCTTCAATGGCCATTGGTTGTTTTGGGTGGTTTTAATATTTTAGTATTTTATGATCTGTTCACATTTGTATCGGCTTTATTTTGTTTTATATTTTTGTACTTTCTATATTGCTGAATATTTGTGTGGCGTTCTTTTGTTTTTCGCAGCACTTTGGTCAGCTGCGGTTGTTTATAAATGTGCTATATAAATAAACTTGATTTGATAAACAGCAGGCGACGCTAATTCTGCTACTGCAGAAGATGGTGCAACGAAATGAAGTGATTAGGAGTCAACCCTCAAACAAAGGGAAACAGTGCATTTATAATAAGGGGGAGCACTCTGGACAATGGAAACAGTGTTTTTGAACAGCTGATATTACAGCTATCAGCTCCAGGAAGAGTTCTGTTAAAAGGCCTGTGTGCATAAGCATGTTGAAAGCCACGAAGAGATGACAAAGATCTCGCAGCAGCCTATGAAATGACTGTACATCATGAAAGTACTTAAGCTGTTTCCATCGCACTTAGTCAGATTTATCTTTAATAGATACACAAACTTTCCACCTTCCTTGAAGTGTAAAAACATATTTGCGATATATTTTAAGATTTTATCGATTATAAGTTGTTTACATTAAGGTTTTTTTAATGCGCAAATTGAAAATGCACATATAAACAGATGACTGGAAATGCACCTGGTGTCTCTGCTGTACTGATTGTACTATTTGATTCTTGTTTTTCTTTATGATTGTGTTTTTTCTACATGACCTGGTTCACACTATTGCCAAGTTATTAATTAACATAATGTTTCCTCCTCTTCCTGCCTCAGGCTGAAACCCAGGAACACTGAGAAGGTTCTGCAGGATTATGGGAACAGAGCCAGGAAGCTGGAAGGTCAGAAGCTGGACTTGGACGCCTTTGCTCAGTTCCTCGATGTGCCAGTGTCAGAGATGCTGCGAGACATGTTCGCTCTTTTTGATGAGGTAGAGACTGTGGAGATTTTTCACTCACAACCATGATAGCGCTACACACTTCCTCAGTGGCCACTAATAAATAACCTCTTGCATTTAGTCTGATGATTATGAACTGCAATACAATAATATAGTTACAGTATATTACTACAAATGTGATATGTGTGTAGTAAGCAACATATTATTCAGTTTAGGGCATGGACGAACTCCAAGCATTCAGTTAACAAAGTGCTTCTGTAAAAACACAGCTAAGACCGGAGGCTGGATCCAGTGCCAGATGTTTTTTTGAAACTAATCACAGCACCTTGGTTTCCATCCGAGGATACATTTGCAGTATAGTACCCAAACAAACAAACAAAGGTTTTATTGCAGCAATGTGTTCACAGCCTTAACAACAATCACCCGCAGCTACTCGTGTGAAATAAATAAACAAGTAGCCTTGCTCACATCCTCTGTCTTCATCTTTTGCAATGCATTGTTTTCTCTCGTTTTCCCCAGCACGAAGATAACTGCATGGATATCAGAGAATACGTGATAGCCTTATCTGTCGTATGCAGACCTGCCAAAACTCTGGAAACGATGAAATTGGCCTTCAAGGTATGTTCTTGTTTCAAGCTCTCCGCTTATCTAACCAGCAGGCAGAATAGAGTTCTCTGTGCTCGCTTAGGATCAGCATGACATTTGCAACGCTAAAATGCCACTTATACTGTAGGTCATCTTGTGTTTGGGTTACAGAGTAATGAAATGGCTCTTGCATACTGAGATGTTTACACTGTTTACCTCCCCATGTTCAAGCTCAGATCTGTGTTTCGCAACCTCAGATGAAATCTGCAATGAGGGGTTATCATTATGACCGATCTATTGTTGCAACTGCACGGAAACTAAATGGCTTGAGTTTCAGTCATCTTAATGATTTCACTTGAATTGCTTTTCGTAAGTCTTGAAGTTGACCACGTTCTGTGACCTTCGGGCTCATGAAAGCCATTGAGTATAGTTTTAATATTTACAGTATCATCCGTTATTTAAGAAAAAGGAAACCCACTTAAAGAACAGTGTCACTGGCTCCTAATCTGACAACCCCGGCAGAGTGGCATGCCTAAGAGAGATGACACCTACATTTCTCCCCATTGCGTCTTCTCCAGATGTTTGAGGCAGAGGAGGACGGCGCCATCACAGAGATGGAGTTGGCAGTTATCCTGAAGACAGCTTTAGGGGTGACTCACCTCAGCGTGTCACGTCTGTTTACCGCCATCGATCCTGAAGACAAAGGGAAGATCACATTCGGTAAGAGACCGGTTAAAATAAACCACTCCTGGTCAGCAATTGGTCTAAAAATCTCGTCATCAAATCTTTGTTTTAATGTTGCTTGGTTATCAAAGCAGTGTTCTTCGTCTCAGGTTTTTTCCACCCTCCTGTGAGCAGTAGACTCAACAATCAGGCCACTTGAGTTTTAAGTGCAGTCTGGCTCTGGGCTTTTTTTTAGGCCCTTGTCTCATGTTGTCTTTGTCTCTGGCGCCCTCCTGTGGTCTCTTCACAGATAACTTCAGATGCTTCGTGGAGCAGCACCCAGACTTTGCTGAAGAGTACCTGTACACAGAAAACGCAGGCCTCCACAGTCACCAGACAAATCCCAGCCTGTCTTCCCAGGACCTGCAAGGCACTGCCACCACCAAAACAGCTAACGGTATCTGCCCCGACTTCAGCCCCAACGACCATGACGGCACAATAGATGGACTCCTCAAGAAACACAACTAAAAGAGTTTAAAATTTTAGAGGGAGGAAACGAACACCTCTCCTGGTGAGAGTGTGTTGTGCGTTAGGGCAGGGGGTAGTTGTAAGGAACTTGTTTGAACAGTAAGGGACTACATTTCAGTAACCACAACTACAAAAATGAAGAAGTTTACCTTACCCTTTTTTTTTTATTAGTATTGTATCCATGAATTTTTGAGGTTATTTTCAGCCTGGTAACGAGTTTATTTTATTATTAATTCCTTTTTCTTTTTTTTTCTTTTTTTCTTTTTTCATAGCAAGGATTGTCAAAATGCCAAACATGGCCGTTTCAGAAACAATGCTTGAATACTCGAAGGGCAAGCACTTATGTAAATTCCTGGGGCAAATTTTCTTTTCTTTTATTTTTCTTTTCTCTCCAACATAGTGCTAAATGTGCATGTTTTTAACATGAGGTAAGCAAGACAAAAACAAAAGCCCTAGACAGTCAAGTGAACTAATTTTTAGTGAAATCAGTGTTGGATTTTCTTTTCTTTGTAACTTTTATTTGTTTCCTCTCTTTAATGGTAGCTGCCTTTTTAACTGAAAGTGCAGAATGCATGGGCTCATGTTATTTTGAGCAGTACTGAGGATTATTTATCTAAAGAAGGGAGGCCTGAAGGTACCGGTGACAATTGTGTGACTGCTTTGAGCGTAACGCTCCAGCAGCCACATTTGAGGTGAACTCGGGCCTCTTGTGAGTTGACGGTCATAATTGCTATGAGCCTGTTACATATACAGTGATATATTTGATTTAGCTCAGGGTTCAGTGACAAAAATGAAAAATTTAACTTGTATGATGTCATCATTTTTGGCACTCACTGGGTTATGTGCATGTCTTCGTTTCTTACGACATCAGTACTCTTCTGCCCAGTCATTCCTCACTCACATCAACGTCACATTTCTTTCAGGTCGGCAAATTCAAGTGTCTTTTTTTTATTGTTGAAATTACACAACGTGGACCAAAAATACATTTGGGTGATTTAACGTCACCTGTCATGTTTTGTACTGTCCTTTTCAGTCAGTGGTGTAATGGCTGTAAGCGGGCGGGATTCACAATGTGTGGCCAGTGAAAGCACATTCAGTTAGGTGGCTTTGTTGGGTTTTCTAAAGGCAAGGTCATACTACTTCCCTCTCTATCATACACTGCAACATTGTTATTCATTCCCACTGTTTTCACAGCATATCCTCAGCCGGTCTGAAACTCCTACTGTTGAGATGTTAAAGGATTTAATAATTAAACATTCATCATTCACTGTTAGTGATGGTTTAAAAGAGACCCAAGCGTCTTTGCATCTAATCACAGTCAAGGGACCAGTAGAATTGGAAACTATCGACCTTTAGTAATATGTACGCCTTGTTGTTTTCTCTAATAGTTGTCGAATTGGCACACAGATATTTAGTCACTGACAGTGATTTAAACATCTCAGTGCATTGATACGCCTGTAATCACAGGTCAGGTAGGCCTGTTTAAGATTACAAATTTTCATCGTAAATTGGTAAAATAATGGAGTTGTTCATTAGCCTTTTGTGGTCTTAATATTGCAACCCTGATTCCAAAAAAAGTTTGGACGCTGGGTAAAACGTACATATAAACAGAATGCAATGATTTGCAAATCCTTTCAACCCACAGTGGGGGAAATTATTCAACATGTCTTTTATTTTTTTATTAAACACGTTTTTAATGCAGCTATTCGTGTGAAATTTAGACCAGACAATGGTATTAAGTCAATAAAACTACACCAATAAAGAAATTGTAACATTTCAATCCACAAAAAATTATGTGCAATAAAGTGGAATGATGCAGGAAAAAAGTTTTGAACGCACTAAATGAAATTTATTTAATACTCTGAGAACGTTTCCTGTATGGAAAAACTAATCTCTCACACTGTATAGGATATTTGGCCAATTCTTCCACATGAGCAGTCTTCAAGTCAAGATTTTGAGGGGCCCTCTTGTCAATCTTAAAGAAATGTCACTTTTAAAATGGCAACAATTAGCGTCCTTAGTCCCCGAACACTTAGAGTGTTATTAAAAGAAAATGTGCTGCAACACAGCAGTAAAACAGTGTGTTGCAGTATTAATTTCAGAATTATTGCATACTTATAAAAACAAAAGTTCATCAGTTTGATCACTAAATAGCTTGTCTTTCGAAAAGGGATTTGCAGATCATTACGTTCACTTATTATCTACGTTTTACAAAGCGTCCCGACTTTTTACAGTATCTGGTTTGTCTTAATATTTTAGGACACAGTTACCTTGATTATTACTGGAAAGAAAGTCGTATTAAAACTTTGCAACACCCCCCTAACATTTTTTAATTTGTCCAATATTCTATAT